GCTTTGGGCATTTGATCTTTAATGAGCTTTTAATATGAGTAAATTTGCAATGGAATTTTGTTTGCTTGTGAAGGGGCTCGCTGGCATTTCCAAACGGAATTTTGGTTTCAAATGCCTTTGGACATTATTTAATCAAGTGCTGCCCATCGAACGGAAATTGAGTTAACTGTGGGGGTGGCAGGGGGTCAATGTCAGGTTGGCGCACCGAGGGTTAAAGTGCACTTGCAGTTTGCGTTAAAAGAAAAACTGCACAACATCAATTCGGCACTCTGAGGCAACCACCATATCTCCCGGTTTTCTTTACACACAGTTGAGGAAAACTATTTAAGAATAATTAATTTTTAAGAAATATGTTATTTAAAGATTTTGAATAATTATGAATATCAAAGTTTATCTTCAAATATTTGAATTCTAATGCATTTGATATATCTCCTTTTCCTCCTTTTAAATATATATGATTTTTTATTTAATAAAATTGAATTTACCTTTATTAAATTAAAGAATCTTTCTATCCTATGGATTTATTTAAGGGATTTCTTTTATTTCATTATTTTTGGCCATGAAATATTATTGGAAAGCAATGAATTTAAAAGTTTAGCTTATAGTATTAGTATTCCATTTTTTTTTAATTCTTCAATTAGTTGAGATCCCAAAAAAAGGGAGCTACTAATCCCACTGCATCTGTAAAACCTCCTTTCCCCCTTTTTTGGATGCGGTCAAGTTGCCCGTTTCTAAGCAGCCAAACGCCGCCGCAATTTATCGAGTGTATTGAGTTGGTCTACGTGCTGCACATAAACCGCACTTATCTGGCTGACTGACTAACTGACTGGCTGAAGGATGTGGGCTATGGCCATCCCCATTCCGGATCCTCCACCCTCCATTCGATACCCTTTCTCCACTTTCCCCCAGGGTTCGCTTCCTGCCATTGAAAGGCGATAGCCGAGGGAGAGCCAGCCAAGAAAAATTGCATGCGGTTAGAGAAGCGAGCAGCAAAATTAATGTGTCTGTCCCGGCTAAAGTTGCCTCTAGCTGCAGCTCCAACTCCACCACCAACGCCAGATCCTCTAAGGTCCAGAGTCCGGACCATGTCCTCCGCATCCATGTGCTGCCACCCGATGAGGCATCCATCCTTAAGCAAATAGACGGACGGAACGTGTCCATGGCCATATCAAAATGATGTATGTGTGTTAGATTTGTTATAAATTTTATTTGCTGTTTGCTTGATTTTTTCCCCAAGTCTATTTTATAACCCACCCTCGGTTTGATCTGTATTCAACCGCAGATGCAGTCAATTATTGAACGCCTGAGTGATTGCGGACACAAAAGGGGTGCGACCACCACAAGAAAATCATATATTATAGTCATTTTCTAACCAAAAGGTCATCGCCATATAAATCAACATGACGGATAAGTAATATTTGTATGGTTTGAGAAGCCACTAAATGTTTTTTTAAGAACGAAAACATTTTATAAACATGATAACGATACATAAATTGTATTAAACTAATCATACAACAATTAAATATTAAAACTCTCCATTTTAGTCTTATATTACCCATATCAGAGTTATATTAAATTTTTGGGACTTCCCCTGAAAACCAATAGTGGTATACCCCACCTAAAATCACCATCCCAATCATAGTTAAAGTCTGACTAATATAAGCAAAACTTCTATGACCTAATGCGCAATTCCTATCGATAAGATAAGCCTTTCAGATTGTAATATTATCGCACCTTGGGTAGAAGCAACCCATTGATAAGGTTTACAACAGGTATTTACGTGGGATTACTAATACTTCACAGTTTCAAAATAATAACAAAAACATTATTGCAAAATAAATGGAATTTTGGGTAATGTCAGCCAGGGCAAAAAAATCAAAGATATGTTTAGTTAAGTATACATGACATTCGACTAATGCGATAAGCTATTTATCAACAGCAAATGATTGATTGATTGCTCTTTTCGTGAAAAGTGACCAGTGAAATGTTTATTGTGATTGGAGTTTTCTTACGAGATTATAGATTTATTATACCCCAAAAATAGTTCCCATAACTCATAGGGAGAGTTATTTCCCAATAGGATGACGACTCTTTTGTGAGAGGGAAGGTCGGTTATCTTTATAGCGTAATATTGGGAATTCCGAAATGCTCATAGGTGCCCACCTTATCATGATAGGTATACTTGAAATAATACCAATAATTTTGTTCATATAAATGGTAAGCTTTAAGCAGGTAAGTTCAGTACTCAATTGCAGTTCGTCAAGCAAATATGCCCCCACCACCACCGCACCACGACCACCACCACGGACCTCCTCACCACGGTCCGCCCCACCACGGTCCTCCGCACCATGGACCCCCGCACCATGGTCCTCCGCATCATGGACCTCCCCACCACGGACCTCCGCACCACGACCACCACCATGGTCCACCTCATCATGACCACCATCACCACCCTCCCGGTCCTCCAATGCATCCTCGCTAAGAACTGAATCGATTAGGATTCGATAGCTATTTATCTAACTAAATAAGTTAAATTTATAACAAAAATGGTTGATCTATAATGACGTGGTCAAAAATATTTGTGTAACAAAGTAAAAACAAAAGTCCAACAAAAATAAAATCAAATACAAAAATATACATACATTTGTGTTATTCCCTAATTTTTTTTGTTTTGTATAGGGAGAAAGAAAAGCATAGTACTGGTGTCAACTTAGACTGGGTGTACTTTAAATTGATTTTGATTACAAATTGTCTTTAATGGGTGTATCAAATAGAGCCGATTAAAAAATGTACTCAAAACCTTTTAAGAAGGCAATTAAGTTTAACAGGAAAATTAATGTTAATTCGCCCACAGATAACATTTTTTTGTACTGTATAATCAAGTTGAATTCGAAGTTGATGATACGCTTAGCCTTTTATCAGCAAAAAGTATAATATTTGCTCTCGTTGTGAAAGACAACTAACAAATATGAAAGGGGGATTTTTTTAAGAAAGAAATTTATAAAAGGGTTCTTCCCCTCAAGCTCGAGAATTCTGGGTGTGCCAACAAAGACAGGAAATGCTCATGACATCATATTTTCCTATATAAATGTAAAGGCACGATGAAATGCATTCAGTACTGAGTTGCAGCTTGTCAAGTAAAGATGCCGCCTCCAGCCAAATATAATCCGAAAATGCCAATTCAAAAACCGATCAACTTTGGACCTCCTCACATGGTATCTCCATATGATAATATAATATCTCCTGTGCCGAAATGGGTTTTTGAGAGAAGATATCCCTAAAACAGCTTTACAAACTTTCCACTAAGGTGTGACAAAAGTTATCAACCGATTTGGCAGAAATGTTCTTGTGTATGAGTACATTTTGAATATAAATAAAATATATGAAAATAAACCAAAATCTTTGTGTCGATTTTTTACGGTGGATTATAGTTTTATCACATCAAATTGTTAATTTATTGTTATCACATTATATTTTTGAAGTCCAGTTATAGTTCAGTCCTTATCGAGGGTGCATTGGAGGTCCCGGCGCCACGTATCCCTGATCAGGCGGGTATGGATAAGGACCGTGAGGGGGCGGTGGGCTGTAGCCGGAAATATTTCCGGGATTCCCGGGAGTTGGTTCGTAATAAATCGGATGCACCGGCGTCTGGAAAGGTGGATGGGGCCCATGGGGCGGTGGGTTGTGATGGTGGTGCGGTGGTGGCGGCGGCATATTTACTTGGCAAACAACCTTTGTGTACTAAACTTACTCACTAATGTCACACCATTTATATAAAAATAAAATATTTCGAGTGCACTGAAATCTTATCAGGGTTTCAGATAAGGTGGGTCCGTTAAGCCCATAAGTCTGTTGGTCTTTCCAATAAAACTACTATGAAGATGGACGGTGCGGCTTTTTGCAGACAATAACAAATGTTTGTTATTGAAAAATTAGTAATAAATAAATAAATAAGTTGTTTATTCCGTCATAGGAGTATATGTATTAAAGACTTCCTTTATGAGTAAGTCAGCAGGAAGTGGTTCACTAATCTTTCCAATATCACTCTTTCGTTGGGGAATATTTTCTTTTGCTGTTTTTATTCAGAAATTAGGTTTTAACAAACTAGTGTATGAATAAGCTTAATTTAAAAATATTTCTTTAGATCCTTATCCACCGATTTTGGACGATACGTGCATGATAATGACTAGCAATCTAATAGGATTACCTTATCGAAGTATTTATACGAATATATTCTTAGAATTCTCATAAAATTACTTTGAATATGGTACGGTTGGTTGATTATTTGAACGTGTTAATTGGTTAATTCTATTGCAGTTATTGACTTAATGAGTATTCGCTGGAGAGCCACAAAGATAAGTTAATAAGTAAAAATGTATTGACGTGTTGTTTATATTTTTACGAAAAGTATTCATGTCACATATATACTAAGGACTGATTATTCGAAAGCTGGTTTTAAACTTGAGAAAATATAATACAATTCATACTTAAAATTACGTTCTTTAAATTTTTTTATTTCTTTGGCTTAGGATTGCTGAAAGACAACACATTGATTTTAATAAAGCTTTAGCTTAGTAAAAATATATCCATTATTTCTAAAAACAATTTAGTTTAAACTTTATATTAAGAAATTCCTAGTGGTGTCCATGGTGGGGCTTCGGTTCTCCATGGTGTGGTGGATGTGGCTCTGGATGGTGGTCCCCAGGATGGCCAGGACCTTTTGGTGGGCTGTGAGGCTGGTGTGGCTGGTGAGGCTGGTGTGGCTGGTGAGGTGGTGGCGGCATTTTCCCAATTGCAAGTACAATTCTGAACTGAAGTTTAACTTTGATTTCCACCCTATATATAGTGGCAAAAATAGGGTTGAGTTGTCGGTTTTCCCATCAAAACGTTTTATCAACCGGTGTTGCGATAAGGTCAGTTTAGTACTTGTTGTTTCATATCGGAATTACCCAATGACAAAACAACGCGAAAAATAAACATCTAGCACCCCCGGATTTTCTATTCCAGCAGGATTCATTAAATCGTGTCATTTGTTTCAGTTAGTGTGTGCTTTCTTAATATTTTGAGTAAAATTTTCTCGTGAAAAAGTTATGAAAAACAATATTTGGGATACGCTGCAGGAGGTTGAAGAAGTTAAGGTTTCCTTTAAGCAAACCTTGCGAAACATCAATAATATCCAAAATCGATACAATATGGTTTCGGCTTTAAAGAGGAAGGCGGCCAAGCGTAAGGAATCTTTCGAAGAGGAGATTCAAGCTGCTATTACTGAAACCAAAGTCCCTAGTCTGCCTAAGAAAAGTATAGTCAAGAAGAATAAGATCAGATTGGTGACCAAAAAACGGGTCAAGAAGATCAAGAAGAATACCTTGGCCATCCCACAGACCATTAGGTTTTCTGAAAATGTCCTGGAAATCCAACCACCTTTTGTGTGCCTTCAAACAAATTGTGTCTACGAAGTGCATAGAACAACTACTCATCTGGTGACTCGAAAACCATACGGGGCTCTCATTCAGAGACTCTATCGATCAGCAAATCGAAAGGTTCGGAAGGAGGGAGTTTTTGATCACGATATGGAGTACAATCCGGAGGTGTGTCCAGAGTTCGAAAACTACTACTGTTCCTGTTCCTCTTGCTGTGTGGAATGCAGATAAATTATTTGTTTCAGCTATTGTCTTGCATATTTTTAGGCTTTCACAAAGCTTTTAAGCTTGTAACCAAATTTTGTACGAGCATTTAAATTGCTGATAATAAATTAAAGATGTTGAAATTTCAAGGGAAAAATAATAAGCCGCTTATTTATTTACTAAAATATTGTAGGACGAATTATAGCTTAACTATAACTTAACTATACATTTTTCTAGTCATTTATTTTGTAATCGGATTTTCAGTAACTAGCATTAAAATAGCACCACTAAGCCTACTATTTATTTGGCAAATTTAATTTAGAACAAAAAACAGCTTAAATCTGCTTCTCAGAATGAAGACAAATTTTATTGTTCACTTTAGAGCAAATTCTCGTTTAATTTAATCGGATCATTTTCAATAACTAGCCAGAGCATCGATTACATCTGCCTTAACAAAGAAAAACCGGAAAGGAAGCCAAAACAAAGAAACGTTTGCTTATTTACGAGTCCCATTTTGTATGGGCAACTTAAACGCTAATGGCATAAACATCCGAGACGTGAGCGAAATGTTTAAAATTCGCTTTCGAGGTTTCGAACCCAGGACAACGAGGACGGAAGTCGAGGTTTAGCGACTGTAATGTGGCCGCCGTCCAAATCAAATCTCAAATCATGCACGTTCCCTTTTGGCCAGCGGGAAATCGGGGAAAAACCCGGGGGGGAAAATGGAGGGCGGGCGGCGGAATTGAAAAGCGCCAGGAACAGAAACTGAAACCAGGATACACAACGTGGACCAGGATGACGAGGACTAGGATTGCACTCCCTGCACGGGGGAAAATTGTTTGAAAATTCAATTCACACATTTGCCAGTTGTCGATGATTTTCTGTGATTTTGACTGGGCCTCCACGTCGTCGTCGTCGTCCTCCTGCCCTCCAATGCTAATGGCACAACCAACTTCTTGCTGGCTCATCCGCAGCCTCAACTTCGGCCTACTACTTTGAGGTTTTCCTTAGAATTCAGCTGGGGAGACCAACACAGGGAAAAATGTGGTATTATGATTTATTTCTAAAGATTTTTTAAACAGCAAAAATATTTACAAAATCACTAAAATGTCTTATAAGTTCCAAAAAACGTACTGCAGTAAGAAAATTAGATTTAAAAGATTAGCCGTAAAACATTATGTACATATGCATTTAGTAAAGTAAACATTTATTACAAAAAATTAATGTGTTAAAAGTCAATAAATCCCTCTGTTTAAATTTCAAATCAAAGTCTAGTTTTTAATATGTTGAACCTGGTATTTGTTTTATTAGGAACAGGACCTTGGTAAAAATGTCTCAACATTTATATTTATTAAAATATGAAGTACTTGTTAAATTTAAAAGATTAAAAAAACATTTTTAACAATTTGAATTTAAACTTATAGTATTACAAATTAATAACACCATGTTTTTTATTAAACCTAAGAAATATAATCTGTTATAAACTGTTTCTCATAAAGTTAGTGTGACCAAGATGGTTAAGTAATCTTAAAAGTTGTATAATATTTTTTTACCTATTTTTCCACATTTTGCAAAGTGTTGGGCTCAATCTTTTTTTGGTTTTCCCAGCAAATAAGTGGAAAATCGCAACGAATTGTTACAGAGTCAGCGGCAGAGGTCCGTGGAGTGTTCGTGTTCCTGGAACGTGCAGATCGAACCCTCCACTCGGAACCGTATCCGTTGCACATCATCCTGGCTCATCCTGCTCCTCCTTTTCCCATCCTGAGCTCCTCCTCGTCGGTGGCATGTGTTTGAAATCTGAGCTAGCTTTCGAATCTTTTTTTGGGCCATGGAAGGCATTCCTGCTCCTTCGCTATTTTGTATGCAAAGAGTTGCTCAAAATTTAATTTATTTACCCTGCCCTCGAGTTGTTGTTGCTGCCTGTTTATTGTCTGCAAATGAAATGCGTCTAAGTCCCGTCTGTCGCTGGCTTTCTTTTTAAACGAATTACCATTTGCCAGCTTTGATGTTGGTCTCGTTCTTCTGCCAACTTTCCTACCATTCTTTTATCCTATTTAAATTTTTTTTTTCGGCTTTCTGGAATTTTCCTCCTTTTTTGGGCTAGTTCCGCTTTGACGCAAACTTTGCAGACCATAAAGTTTTGACTTCATGCAATTTTAATGACTTAACGAGCAGCATTCCGTTTGACATGGGAGTGTTTTTCTTTTTTTTTTTTGCTAGGGCGACTGACTGGAAACGGCAGCTAATTAGACAAACGCTTTGCGATTACCAAACGAAAATTTCACTTTCCCTTTTACAGTTTCCACAATTTTTTTGGGGGTATGAGGAAAACTTTACAATTGCAGAAACATGACTCCGCAGATAATGTGCAGTGTTTTTCATCTCCAAAGAGTTACTTTAAACTTTATAAATACCCATGTTTATATAAAAACACTTTTACCATTCGCTTGTTTTTTCTTCCACATGTTTTCTGTACGTGTGTGTGTAATTTTATTAAATGTAGCTTTAATTTAGACAAATAAATTAAGAATTAATGATATAATAACTATGGTCAACATATATATTATGCAAACATGTTCGTGGCGTCGATGAGCAAAACCGATTGTTAAGAAAAAGTTCCTGTAAAAAATGTGCAAAATGTTTCACTGAACACAAAAACAAGCAAAATGGTAGGAAGATCTCAATGGGAGTGTGTTAAAAGAAATGAATAGGATATTGATTTGAAAGATGAATTCGGTTTGGTTTTAGTGAGTTGTTTGTATGGATGACTAAGTCCGATTTTCAGGGCGGACTATGTGTGAGTCTGAGTCGTCACTGGGTGGGTGGATTGAGTCCCTCATAACATATCCCTGAGCACCTCCTTCTGGGGAGCAGTCAGTTTCTCCGGGAACTGGATGTCGAAGGCCACCAGGAGATCCCCCTTGCGTGTCGTGTCCTTGGGAAATGGCAGTCCGTAACCCTGGATCCGCTTCACCGTGTTCGGTTTAATAATCTCCTGCATGGTACTGATGCGCAACTTATCGCCGGACATGGTAGGAACTTGGAAGACAACGCCGCACAGAGCCTGGAAGTTAAAAGAAAATATAAATAAATATTACTTTAAAATTTTAGACGTTTTTAGAAATAATTAGGGACCGAAAATATCAGTTTTTTAGGTCCACTAACATTTAATAAGAATAGATCAAACAGAATTTTATAACACAAATGTTTATTATGATACTTTCTATTGATTTATAGGTACAATAAACAATTAGCGTAGGACTTTTACAATAAAAGTAAAAACAAGAGTTAGCGTAGGACTCTAATATTATACATCTCCCAAAAAATAACAGTCGTCAAAGACTTTTGTTGCAAAGGTTCTGACTTAAACATTTTTGTTTTTTTTTATTTTATTTCAAATAATACTTAAATTTCTCAATTTATCAAGCATCTTTACGCCAAGCTTACAATATATTTATTTCCTTTTTATTTTATTTATTTTGGTTCTTGCCTTATCAATCAATATGGTCAGCAAATACCCCCGCCAATAACTCAATTTCGTTTTCTTTTTCACCCAAACCAAACCGAAATGAGCAAACACAACACATGAGTTCCACTGTCGAGTGGGATCTATCAATCTTTTTTGGGTAATCCTGTTTAGGTGCCCCAACCAATCCTGGATTTTTTTCAGCTCCTTCGAGCTTTTATCCCCCCGAGTTGCATGTTTGCTTTCCCATCGAACATAACATTTGTAAATCCTTTTTTATGTTGCCTAATTCGTGTTTAAACATCTTGTTGACACGCTTCCATGTCCTTTTCTGTTTACTTTCCCTTTCTTGGCCCAGACATTTTCATTGATACTTTCTTTCGGCTCGTCGGTTTGACATACGACTTGTTTAATTGGCCCACTAAGAGATGGGCATCAATCAGGTTTTGTTTAGGCCCCAGACATTGATGTGGCTTACTCAATTAATTCGCGTCCGAACTTGGATGAAAATCTTATTGATTGCTTCTTGTCTCTAGAGAAAATGCTTTGATAAAGATAATACAATTAAGTTATTGTATGTATGTACATGTTCAACTATGCTTCTGAGTTTCTTTAAATAAAACTTATAAGAAAGAAGTACCATTCATGAACTTTGGTGTATTACGTTGTAAAATGTTTGGGTGAAAAATATATAATGATTTAAACATTGGAAAACTTTTTAGATTTAGCTATATAAACACACCTTAATAATAATTAAAATGCATTTGATATGACTTATGATCTTAACTTTTCTCTTGGTTGTTTCCATTTCGACATGTCTTGTTAGCATATCTATTCGTAAAATCTTTTCTAAAGCAACCCCAAAAATGACAGATTATCTTTGTTAATCCTTTTGGGTGTGACTTCCAACATTTTCAACTGGTAAGGCCTTTATTTTTCAAACTTTTGCGACACCAGCCATAATCAACCAATAACTGGAATGTCAATCCCTTCTTCAACAGTGATTTATGGAATGCAAAAAAAGGGTTTTGATCTAAGCCCGCCACACGAAACAATCCCTTCGATGCCCATCAACGGATGATATAATATTTTATGCCATTCCATAACTTGTCACAAGTGATTTGTAACCAAAGAACTTGCCGGACACGTGTTAAATAGTTGTCAATGTGCCCCGAGCCTCACCCAATAAAGTACAAAAAGGTTATAAGTACAACAAGAAATCACTTCAAACATAAATAAATAAATTGCGACAAAACCAAAGTGCACACCTTATGAATATTTAAATATAAATATATGGATGTGCGTATCTTTATATCGCCGATCGGGTATTGGGTATTATTTGCCGACTGGCGAATTTAAAGCGATGACAACATAAACTGATGACGACAGAGCCAGAAAACAGCTACAACAACGATTACAACCTGTCCCCACGATGACGACGACCAGCATCAATATTTTTTTTAATGGAAATGTTGAAAATGTTGTCGCAGCCAAAAAAAAAAACAGCGAAATACATATATATAAATCTGTAACGCTTAAATACTTTGCTACCTTTTACGGAATCTGAAGCATAAAAAAGCAAAAACAGAGGGAACCGAAAATAAAGGGAATACAAATGTGAATGGGGCATCGATAAAAATTTGCGAGCACTCCGTATCTGGAGCGGGAATTTAGAAAAAATATGGGAACCCGTT